ATCTGTGCTCTAACCATGTTGATTTAGTGCAATCCTTTTAAGGCTAAATATATTTTATTATATGAATATGTCATATTTTATTTATCATCTCCCCTATTCAGGTATATTGAATTTACTTTCAATTTTTCCTATTTATAAAGAATATTACAGTAGTTTGTGATTTTGTTTTCCACTGTAGTTGTTTTCCTTAGGAGTCCCAAGCACACACTGGGCGGTAGAAACGTCCATAAGGAAGGTTTCATGTTGGAGTCAGCTGAGCCCTGTAGGGTTTATATTAATAGTTTAGAACTATGTTTATGTGTGCTGTTATTTTATCAATTCTGATTTCTACTCATATTGATTTGTATGAATTTGGGCTCTGAGAGTGGGGTCTGAGATCCATTCTTTCTGTTTGCCACATCCTGCCTGAGGCAAAAGCTGGATTCCTGCTGAGAGTCTGTACTGGAAAGCAGAGACTCTCAGTCCCTGCTAGGAGGCTGTGCACCTCTTCCTAGCTCCCTGCTGTGATCAGGGCCCAGGCTCTAGGATGTATTTCTGGTCCAAATATTCAATGGAGCTGCATAGAAAGCTCTCTGATAGGCTTAAAATTAAAGGAATAGAGAACATATTGAAGGAGAAAGCCCCAGGCAAGAATTTTCAAGTATACTGTTAAGAATCTGAAGCTCAAAATTAGACATTTGAAAGTGCTAAGGCCATAGCTGACTATGATAGTCATTTTTGGCTCAATAACTGCACTTGTTGGGACTGATGATGTAACATTAAGAGATCAGAGAATTCAAGGCTAAGGAGAAAAAGCAAGCAGACAACATAGGACCTGTGAAAGCATCCTGCAGAATAAAGAAAAGCCTTCTGCATTTTGCTCTCACAAGATACAAATGCACTTCTGAAAATGATCTACTGTAGGATTCAGAAAAAAAAAATTCAGAAAAGTAGTACCTTTATGATAGGCCACATATCAAGTAAAACTAATGCAATGAAATCTGAATACATCCTGGGAAAAGAATTAAACCTCGAGAATAAAAATGATTATTCTGCAAGTTTCTAGGCAGGATGACACTGGCAAAGAAATTAGAAAAATGATGGAATAATGCCTTATAGTTTTGAAAGAAAATAATTGTGACTCAATTTTATATACAACCAAGGAGGGTGCAAAATCAATAGAGAAATATTTTTCTGTATATAAAAGCTCACGTAGTATATGCCATTTGTTACTTTTTTGAAAAAAATATACGAACACATCAACCAATCCAGAAATGAAGCACAATACTTACAACACATGAGAAAACCATCATTAAAAAGAATGAGTAGAGAACACTGGAACCCAAAAACATAGAAACGAATTTAAATAATTTGTTACAAATCTGATTATAAAATAGAATGCTAATATTGTTTTTTTGATTTAAAAAGTTTATAAAGGAGAAAATAAAAATTTAATAACAACTTGAATCCAAATCCCTAGATTACATTAACAAAGATCAAGAAGTAGGTAGATAGTGAGAGGGTAGGAGGAGCATATTATGCTAAAACTCTTTGTCATGAATACACAAGACTCATGAGATTCTTAAAGTTAGGGAAATATAGGTTGAAATAATTTTGAAATGTATAAACATAAGCATTAATAAAATTAACAAGACATACATCCTTATAAAAACCTTGAGAAGAGAAAAACAAAACTTGA